CATAATTAATTTATATTATAATAAGTTCTTATTTAATATTATAATAAAATAAATATTGACAAATATAAAAAAATAAAAAATATTTTAAGTACAGATCATGTTAGAATATAAAACACCGGTTCTGGTTCTAATTTATATCAGATCTTAAAGTCTGTAAAGTAGCCATATGCTGTTCAGATTCAGATTATATTAGTTTGGTTCAGATATATCCGTAATTAAATTCCAAATTTAAAAGCAAAACATAAGAAGTAAATACTTATTTATATTGAATTGATATTTAAAATATTTAATTAACATTTAAATACTTATTCTAAATACCATTTCAAAATAACTATAGAATTGAATATTTGAAGTTCAAATTAATGTTTCAAATATTTATACTTATGATTTATTTGGACATTCAGATCGGTTTTTGAGTTTTTCGGGTTTTCGATTCTTTGGGTTATCCATTGGAGTTTGGCTAATAATACTTTGGGTTTGGATATGTTTTGTATCGCCTTAAGAGACCCATTCTAGTGTTTCTTACATTTTGGACCCGGTACGAGTTTTTAGTTTGGATTCGATCAAGACTTTGGAGTATAAATTTTATACTTAAACATACCTTAAATAAAGAAAAAATATGTTTATATAAATTTTCATAAAAAAATTATCCCGCATTTAAAAAGCACGAATTAAAATCTAATAGGAATTAAATTAAACTACCATTTTACTATTTTTAAGGAGTTTTAAGTGATGCTATATGTATACTAGAGTTACTTAAGAATTGTCTAAGAATGGTTGACAAAAACGTTTTTGAAATTGAAACATGACCAGGGGTTTCAAGAAGATAACTAGCTATTAAATTAAGGAATGGTTATTCTGTACAGCGTTTGATGAATGAAAAGAAAATGAATGAAAATGAAACCATTTTGGGAAAATCGATAAAAACTTCAAAATAACATTCACTTACGTTTAAATCTTAAAGTTTTTTCAGTAGCATTTTAAAATTTTAAATTAACGTTTGTATAACAAAAAACTTTCAACTTGATTTACTTGTTTATCAATTAAAAACTGAACTGTTGAACAGATAAAAACGATTACTTGTCAATTTTTTTTTCAAAAATAATTATTTAATTAATAAAATAAATAACATTAAAATTAAATAAAAAAGCAGAAAACTAAATAACATTCAAAAAGTCAAAAAATAAAAACAATTCAGAAATTCTATATATATTTTTAAATAAGATAAATTAAAATAGGGAAAATTTAATAAAAATAAATTAGAGAAAATTCACAAAAAATTAAAATTTAAAATAGTTTTAAATAAAATCACAATATTATGTTTTACAAGAAATTTTTTGAAAATACCATCGTCAATAATAATATGTTTGCATTTTTTATAGCCAACGATGATATCCCAATTTTTCTTGCAAAGCAATCTTTTAATTTTATGCGATTTTTCCAATAAAACTAATATATCATTCGTTGACAATAAAATTTTCAGATATATTACTGTTGAAGATGATGGTTTCAAATAGTTTTATTTAACATATTCTTGTAATTGAAAAACTATTTCTGAATTTTATTAATTTTTGTTTAAATTTTGAATTTGAGTTTTCTCTATTTCAATTTAATATTTTAATTTTATTTATTTCTAATTTTTAATTTAATGTTTGAAAAGTTATTTTCTGATTTTTATTAATTTATAATTTTTAAAAAATTGTTTTGATTTTTTATTTATCAAATAATTATTTTTAAAAAAAATTGGCACGCCATGGTTTTTCATGTTCAACGGGTCGATTTTTTATTTAATAAACAGTTAAGTCAAATTCAAAGATTTTTTTGTGATACAAAGGTCACTTTAAAGTTTAAAATTTTAATGAAAAAACTTGAAGATTCATTTACACTTTTAGGGATTTTTATGTTATTTTTCCCAACTACATTAGTAAGTTATTAACTAATGATTTTGTTGATGCGAAGCGATCACCCCGTCTAGCTCAGTTGGTAGAATATAAGAATCTCAACCTTGTGGTCATGGGCTTGGGCTCCGCAGTGCGTGATTTATTTTATAGAAGCTGCACACACTCACATTATTATATCTGGGTATTTAGGATTCCAATCGGATCTCGGTCTTTTGGACTTATCAAAACTAATTCGGATAATATGAAAGTTCAGTTCGGGACTGGTTCGGTTTCTATCGAGTTCAGATCGGAACTAGTAAATCTTTAAAGAATTGGTACAATCCATTATACTTTCGGGTTCGGGTTCCAATCGATTTTTCGGTTTAAAAAGTACCTAATTTGTATTACTTTGTAACCAAAAATATAAGTAAAATCGGTTCTTCAGTTTTAAAATATCTGATTTATACATATTTATAGCAAAAACACAACTAAAATGAATTCAAAAATAAGAAAGGAATATCAATAACTCGATCATTCAAAATCAAATGAAGGTAAACATAGTTATTGATAGAAAAAAACCAAATACATGAAAGCATAAAACGAAAAGTTCTCATGAAATGAAAAATATTATTCATTGAAAGCAGAACCAAAATTTAAAAACTTTAAACTTCAACCACCACATTCAACCATCACATTCATATAGCAAATAATTATTTTAGATGTTCAACAATATGTTAGGGTATTTTGGATACATATTAGGAATTGAAATCATGTTTGTACAAATTCTTTTTGGAATTTTGAATCTTTTAGGTGCTATCGGGTATTCATTTTGGCTCTGATATGGTTCGATAATACCCATAACCCGAAATACCATTAAACAAGATTTATTCGGTATTTATGTAGGTGTTCAGATCGGTTTGGATTCGTTTTTATTGGATTGAGTTCGGTTCGGATTTTTGGATTCGGTTTATTTTTCCAGCCCTAATTATACCTACAAACAATACTAATCTGACAGCTTTCAGACTTTACTTCCTTTTTCGTTTCTACAGTTTACTTTAAACTTTCGGCTGTACAAGAGTTCTAGAGACAAATATATCTACAGCCTAGTTTTATGTACTTTCAAAGAATAAAAGTATATTTACAACAGTTTTATTCTACTATTAATTCATAAACAATAAAGCCCTAGTTCTAAATGCGTATCATTCAACTGTTTTTTTTTTGCTTTTAAGTTTGTTTTGAAAATTAATATTTTATTCATTTTCTTATTCTTATGGTTATGTATTTGTTTTTTCTGTCAAAATTATTTTTATAAAAATAAATAAATAAGTTTATTTTATGTAAAATTTTAAAATTACTATTTTATTTATTAAGTAGAAATAGAAACTATAATATATTATCTATTTATTAATAAGTTTTTAATACATGCATATAAAACAATCTACAATTAAATATTTACAGCAAAAAAAATCGCAACAATTAAAATCTATAGTTACAGCCAAAATCTACAGCAATAACTGTAAGATAATTAATACAAAATAAAGTAACATAGAAATAAAATTAGATGAACACATGAACATAACAAAATAAGGTATGTTTTGTAGGGGTGGACATTTAAGTATCCAGACCATTCAGATTCAGTTCTTATATAATTAGATTTTGGATTTCGAGTTTAGAAATTTAAACTCTATACATGTATTTTTAAATGCCGGTTCAGGTTTGATTCGGATCATTGCATGTTCAGTTTGAGTTCCGATACCCATTTTAATTATATATAAAAGATAGAAATCTAAATATAAATTAAAATCTTTAAAATCTAAAAATAATAATATAAAACATATAAGTATGAATAGTATAAGACTAGATGCCTAAAGTAAACATAAAAATTCGTTTGATTTGGATATTTGTATGGAGAACAAGTATGTATTTCCAGTGTTTTTAGTATTTCTAACTATTTTTAAATATTAACTTATGACTATTTTGATTTTTTTTTCATTGTTGCATGTACATTTTCTTATAGATATTAAATATAGAATAATTAATATATTTAAGTAAATAATTGTGATATGGATATTTTTGGGTATCCGTAAATACTTTGGTTTGGTTAGGGTTTGGTTTCATTTTAAAATTTTAGATCCGTTTGGAGATTTAGTCAGTTTTGATTCAGATTTGGTGCTATCATTTGGAGTCAGATTCGGTTCGCTCTTTGGGTCCTGATCTTTTGCCCCACCCTAGTTTATATTGCTTATAGTAATTATGTTATTTATAAAAAGATACGATTCTAAAAATATGTATACAAATTACTCAATATCAATGAAAATTTCTTGATAAAATATACAGTAAGTCCTGCTATGACTAAATTCATGTTCTTATAACATTATTTAGTCTTTTCACAACACGGAGGTAACTTACTTAAATTAATTAACTTTATTTTAATCTTTACAGTAATCATGCCAGGAAATGAAAACCTATGGACATTTCTCAGTCAGAAGCTTCAAAATTACTTGTTCCTTTTTTCCTTTTTGTTCTGTCAAAGGGGATAATCGAAGTAGCATCCTCGCATCTTAAAAAAAAAAAAAAAAAAATCTAACCATGAGAGTTATTACATCAGATGAGCAAAACCATGACTTGTTGACTTAGGGTTTGTGAGTACTAAGGAAAGGTAGACCAAGGGGAGACTAAATCATAGAGGGATGTAGTTTACGACTCTTTAATTCATTTCTCCTTTCGCCTATTTTTTTGTTCTTTCCCCTTATTTATCTCTTTTTTTTTTTCTTTTCTCGTAAAAGTTATTCCTTTGTTCATATCACAGATTTTCTTGGTCGGCCTTGTTTACTTAGGTCTCCATAGATTTTTGTTCTTTTGAAGTAAATCTTGTCAAGTTTTTGTGAGGTTTCTTTATTTTCCCAGATTGATTTGGGAACTTATATCACCTTCACTTTTGGTTCATAGCTAATCTACTCTCTAGATCTCCCTCCTATTCTAAAGAAACCATTTCTTGGTTTTGAGTTGAGATCCAAGTGAGTTAAATTTCTTTCTGAAAAAACTAATTTCTTACTTTCTAAGAAAGTCGTACATCGGATTTAGGATTTCTTACGGATATTGGCTAATCTTGGCAGGAAGATGGTGAGAGGTAAGATCCAGATCAAAAGAATCGAGAACCTGCCGAGCAGGCAAATCACATTCTCCAAACGTAGGAAAGGTCTCTTAAAGAAAGCTCACGAGCTTTCAGTTCTATGCGATGCTCAAGTCGCAGCCGTTGTCTTTTCTCAGAAGGGAAGATTATATGATTTCTCAAGCTCCGAGTAAGTATATATCTCATTTACTAAACTTCTAATCCAATAATCACCAATCATTTATGAATTACTTCGGTTTGTTTCTGTAGTCAGTAATGCTATTAGTTCTCTCTCTTTCGAAAGTGCTTCGGATTTCTTTAGTAAGACAAGTACATCTTTTTGAAGTACCATGGAATCTTGTTTAATGAAATAACACCTAGTCAAATTAATTGACTAAATTAAATGTGTATGTTCAAGTTCTCTTCTTCAAGCACGAGCAAGTGATTTAGGGTTTCCCCCGAAAAGCGTTCTTGAACTTTGAACCTAGTATACCTTGGAACTCATGCTGAAACCACTTGACACGTTATTGTAATTATAAAAAAAAAATCTCAGTGATAAACTAGAAATGTTAGTAGTTAATTAAAAGGAGTATTTATTGTTAAGGATATACATTATTCCAATCAAAATAATTATTTCCACAACCATATATTTGATTCAGTGTCTGAAATTACATTTGTCATTACTATGTCTATCTTTGTAATTACTGTAGTTATATTACTCACGCTATATGTATATGTATCTTATGTATATCAAATAAAATATGAGAGTTAACCTCACGATTTAAAGTGTCTAATTAATCTTAAACTTCTGGCCGTGCCGTGAGTTTTGCTTCAAAGCATTCAAGCATTGCTCTGAATTCGCTATCAACTTATAATCCTATCTTTCTTTTTTATGTTTCATTGTCTAGTATTTGTAAAGATAACATCTCTCTCTCTCTAAGTATAACCACAAATGTTTAGTTTCTAATAAAAGCTTGGTGTTACAAAAAAAGATACGAGAGCAATACAAATCTTCAACCCATCTCTCATCACATTATCATGTATTAGTGTTATTGGTGATTATAAAAAGGAAACGAAGCCACAGAAATTAAAAGATGGATATTTACACATTGTTGTCTTGTCTCAAATGTCTGGCTCACCGGCCCGTCCGGTTAGGTTATGAAAAGGAAACAAAACATCACCATTTACATAATCTATGCTTTGGAATCATTTCGTAGTTTTTCATTGTATACTACGATCATGAGATAGGTCAAGCGGAACTAGAACATGTAGTTAATTTACATGACAAAGTAACAGATGACTTGATGGTTGAAGAACATTTTTTCAGACTAGAACAGCTCCAAAACATGTATTTTGCATGCGTGAATGCTCTTCTTGGGGAATTAATTATGTATATATATATATGCCAATAAATAATAGCGAAGAGGTTCTTTGGAAATTTATACAGTATGCAGAAGATGATGGAGAATTATGAGATATATAGGAGAGAGTATTTTGGGACAGAGAGACTACAAAAACGGCAATATGTGCAGGAGCTCAAGAACGAAATGGCTACCATGTTGGACAAGATTGAAATTCTTCAACTTCAATGCCGGTCAGTATCTGATATTTCCATATGTAATAATAATATTAGCCTAAATAATATATACATATATTTTCTTCATATGCAATATATGATTGTATTTACACTCCGATATATAATATCTTAAGAAAGCTGATGGGGCAAGATTTGGATTCGTGTTCGGTGGAGGAACTCAAGGAGATAACTATCAAAATTGAGAAAAGCCTTACTATTGTCAGATCAAGGAAGGTATAACTGCATAATTGAGTACTATATATAAATAAAAATACAGAAATAAATAAAACTTAATTCTCACAACTACAAACGTTATATATGTTTTCATAATGTGTTGAACAATAATGTGAGACGTTGAAAATCATTAGCTTATCCGGATTCTACATTTTGGCAGGCTAAGTTACATGAAGATACAATAGAGAAACTAAAAGCAGAGGTATTGTTACTTATTAGTTTAATTATAACTTAATCAGTAATGCATGGTTCTTTCATTCTATCCAAACATGCGCATGTTTCTTTCTAATTCTCATTGTGAATAATTGGTTACTTTACTCCATTAGATTTCTGAAGAAAAAGAGGTCTTGAACGAGACAAATGGTCTTCGGAAAATGGTACACGCATATACATAACCCACGGATAAATGCACAATTCTATACTCGGACGTTACTTTTCCTCTCTTAAATATTGAGTTTTACTTTTTTTTCCATGGAATTTAGGAATATACTACATATGTTATTATTTCAGTTTGAAGAACCGACCTTGTGGATGCACTCGAGGAGTGTAGAGAGTGAGAAGAGTGGACCATCTTGTAGTAATGGAAACATGAACATATCGGATGTACAAACTGACTTGTCCATTGGATTGCCTGAAAGTCGTGAGTGAGTGAGAAGAGTGCACCTTTTGGCAAAAAAGAAAATGATTTATTCGTGTCTTAAACAACTTGTTCTTGTTTTCATGTTACCAAGACATGTATATCTCAAATTCTGGATATATTTCAAATTCTGGATATTGAATCGATTCTGTATGCATCAATTCAAGAATAACGTAGTGTATGGTAATTCTCTACTATATTTTTGTTCTTTCTTTTTCCCCCTTTAGTTTTGTTACTTGGCTGAAAATCTGATTTTTTGTTTGTATAATAATGTTAACCTATGTTTTTTGTAATTTTTATACTAATAATAATATTTTTTTCGACACTAATAATATTATCAATCGTAAAAGTAATATAAAAGTTCTTTTGTGCGAAAGCTCTATTGCTCTAGCTCTCAGTATTGTACTATCTAAAGTACTAGGAATTAATCCATGCTATGCGCAGAACATTTTTGATTTTCAAAATTATTAAGTATATAACTATTCTTTTGAACATTGTATTTTGAGTGTTAAATTTTTTTTTTTAAATATTGTATTTTGAATCGTATGTTATTGAGATTAAAATTATTGTATTGCAATATTTATGTGAGTATTTTTTGTGATCTTTCAATTTGTGTTGTTCGTATGCTTAACATAAAAGATTTTGATGCTTAACCATTTCTTGTTTTTCTAAAAACAAAAAAAATAATGATATATCAAAACGTATCTAATACATGTCAAATGATAGTACAATGTACATCTAAATCATTATATGTAAATAACTATTTGTTTTTTTCTTTTTATTTTTAAGAAATTTCTTAAAATGTTTTTATTTAAAAACATTATATATATATACTATAATAGCTTAAGTTTGGAAGATTATTTTTTATATAATTTATGTATAATTTAAAAAAAACAATGTAAGATATTATATATTGATAACAAAATAAAAATCTTAATATATTACATGAAAATTAAATATTTATATTTTCTTCTTCATGCTTATATTCACCAACTCCGTCATTGATATTTATAACTCACTACGTTTAAAAAAAAAACAAAGTTTTAAATAATAATCTAATTTAAGAAATTAAATTCATCACTTATTATGTTCTTTAAACTATATTTGAAAGTTTTTAACTATATTTTAAGCATAACATTACTATTAGTCAATTACAGTTGTTCAATTAAAAATATTATACAAAAAATTAGATAGATTTTTATATAATGTTGGGACAATACAATTTTGAATATTTAAATTCAACTGGGGCAAAAAAAGTAATTTGAAATGCAAGGAAATTATGGATTAGGATAGTTTTATTTGGGAGAATACCTTTGAATGGGGAAACTGTTTTTTTAGACCAAATAGGTTTTGATATTGTCCCTTTAGGATAAATTATATTTTGTACCAATTTTGACTTTAATGCCCTTTATGTATTTTTGAAATTATTAAAAAAAATAGATTTATGAAGCAAATTTTTTTAAAAAAAATAGTACATAATGATGAAATTTCTATATCTATATAGTGATATTTTTTTCTTGTTTTAAAAATATGTAAATAATAATTTCATATATCTATTCTACCAAAATTAGAATATGTATTCTACGGATTAGAATACGGAATCTACTTTTTTCACTATTTCTACGAATTGCAGAATATGTTTTCTACGGAGATAACATGAATCTAAAATAGTTTGGAATACACATTCCACGCTTATCATATAGTTCTAAAAAGAGTAGAAGTTGAAATCTAAATTCATATTTAAATCTAAGACAAGTAGAAGTCAGAATCTAAATTCGCACAACGTTCTAATACACGTAGAAACTGATTTCATATCTTTTTACACAGTTCTACGTTTAGTAGAATCTGAATTCTACGGATAAATATTATTAGATCCGAAAATATAGCAAAAATATCTTAGAAAATATTCTATTATCATATTTAAAACTCCATTTTTTTTTTTAAAAAAAAAAGGAAAATTCGATTTTTTTTTAAAAAAAAGGAAATTCGATTTTAAAAAAAAAATAGGAAAATTCGATTTAAAAAAAAAGGAAAATTCAAAGGCAAAAACGTTTTATTAAAAGGAAAATCTTTGGAAAATATTTTCCGGAATCTTTTTGATCAAATCGAAAATATATTGTTTATTTTTTTATTTTTTTTATTTTTATTTTATTTTTTATTTTTTTAATTTCTAATGCAATTTTTTAATTAAAAATAATAATTGATTATTATTTTCTAATTATAATTACGAATTATTAAACTGTTTTAAGGGTATTATTGTCATTTAGAAAATAATTAATCTAATGGAACAATAACTAAATGAGATTAGACTAAAGGGACAACTTCTTAATGGTTTTGGTCTAAAAAATTTATTTTCTCTTGAATCTATGAGGAGAATATCAACTCATATAAGTAGGTTTTTGTTTTGGAAGTTGCGGACTTTTTATCGTGAATCAGTATAACCCAAAGTTCGTTGTTACAGAAATCTCCTTACAGATCATCAAACGTTTTTGGGACGGAGACAAAATCACTCATGTTCCTATATCTCATTCTTTAATCTTTTTAGGAAACATTTTTTCTTTTAATTTTATATATCAAATAAAAAATCATAAAATTAATTTGGAAACGTGAATATTTTTTACTTAATTTATAGAATTTGATAAAAAAAACTATTTCAGAAATCCAAAATTTTGTTTTTCATATTTTCGCGAAAATCATTAAAATATGATTAAAAACGATTTTAAAATATATATTTTTAAAAAAATTGAAAGGTATAGAACTTAATATTTGCCAAGGGTTCACTAATCCATAGAGGGGTTAGGGTTTAGTTTTGAACACCGGGGAGGATTTAATTTGTGAGTTTGAGTTTTGATAAAAAAAAAGAATTATGAAATAGTGGTATAGGAGATCAAGTAAGTCCATCGGAGATTGCCTCCGTCAAAAGTTGATGGTGGAACCATTGCTTTTTTTCTGAAGTTCTCTCGAGTCTTTTTTTTGATGAGTGTGAAGTTGATATCAATGAAATAATGAGTTTTATAAGAAATTGTTTGATGTAAAATTATACATCCTTCTTTTTTTTGTTTAAAATTGTATTTCATTTTTATATTGTATATTATTTATTTATTTATTTCAACATTTTAATATAATTTTTTATGTAGTTTTCAAGTTTTAAAATTTTATATTTAATTATTATTTGTTTTTTCTTATATTGTGTATTAAACTTATTTTATATTTAAAACTCCAAACGCAATTGGATACACATTAGAGTTACCATCCAAAGCTGCAGCAACAAGAAGTACACCTTTGTACTTATTCTTCAGAAAGGTTCCATCCACAACTATGACCCTACGAACCGCTTTGTAAAACCCTCTTACAGATTGACCAAAAGCAATAAACAGATACTTGAATCTACCCTTCGATTATGTTTCATGATGTGTATGTGTACCTGGATTGGCTGCCTTAGAATGTGTAAGTAGTTTGGTATTTTACCGTAACTTTTCTCGGGTATTCCTCTCACTACATTAATCCCAAACTCGCGTGCATCCCATGCCAAAGAGTAAGAGATTTCACATCCATGATCTGCGCGCATAAACTGAATCACATCTTTCGGTTTTGGGCCTTCATTTGCGCCATCAAATTTGTGCATAATCATATTTCCGATTGTTTTTGCTGAAGCTGTCCTAGCGATTTTACTTTTGCTAGACGGAGAACATGTATGCTCAGCTACGTACTTGTTAATTATAAAATACGAAGACCCCTCCAAACACTCTGCGCGAACACTCCATTTGCATATTGTTTCTGCACAATGAATATACCAGAATCTTGTATCAGATTTAATAACCTTAGTCAAAGTTATACTTCATTGCACAGATCTCCATAGTAGACTTTAGAAGAGCTTTGCTTCGAAAATGCTGATCCTTTTTCAACGCATCCGTCAACGAAAAAGAGAAGTACCATTTATTACTTGTTCTCATTTCATGGTAATATTCCATCAATTTAAGCATCTTAGCCTTCCTTCTGACCCTAAACACTCTCGTCTCCTCCTCGTCCTGTATACATATGTTATATTTAGTTCATGTTAATGTGGAAAATAAAAAGTTTCAACAATCAAATCTCTTACCTGACCCCTCACTTTGAGAGTAATATGAGTTGACTCCGACTCTAGTCCCGGTAAACCCGATTGGAACCCGACCCGAATACTTGAATACCCATGCCTATCCATATTCATTTAATTGTAGACACACCCATCGGTCAAATATTTGATGGTCGATGAATTATTGCTAGCTACTCCCAGTCCCAACAATAATTTTCTTTTACCACAACTTCATTGATCATTCTTAAATGCCCTTTGGTTGATTAGAACTCAAAAGTCATCGGCTAATAATCCTAGCCTTGCAGGGTCCAAAAGCTGTCGTTATGACTCTTCCAATTACAAACCTAACTTTACTTGTCTGTTGAAAAATATTGTCATGCTGCAACAATTTCTACAACTAATATAGTTTTGGAGAGAAATGTAGAAGACCAGACTCCAAAGATGATGTTTCATTTGGTCTCCCTCTGATCCTGGCTGAGATTCTTGATAGCAGCTGCTTAAGCCTAGCCTTGCAGGATCCATAATCATATTCAAAAAGTGAACGAGCTTGTTAGGAAAATTAAGCCTCAAATGGTCTAAAAAACCTTGGCCTTGAAAGCATTTAACAAATACCTTGGCTTTTAAGGAATCTTTTTTCTTCGCATGCACGTTTATAGAGGAGACAAAGCAGTTCTTGAAATACAAAAAAAAAAAGGCATGTGAACCCGATTACGTTGTAATGCATCATGCTAAAATTATCAAAGGCACGAGCCACGCTTCTGTGTACGTACGAACGCACTGATGAATTATTGTATTCGAGTAACCAACAAGCAACAACAATGATAGAAACTTGAACTCTTTCGCGTGATATATCTGAGTTTATGTTACATTGAGTTATGATCATAAAGGGAAGTTGTTGGTCTCTTCTTGCAAGCTGATCAGAGCGGATGGAATGGTACG